GGGCAGGGGAGAGTTAAAGACTGTCCAGCACTTGCTTTCTTCCCAAAAAGCCCGCGCCCCCCAACTCCCTCCCGCTAGCCAGTCCCACCCCCTCGGGGCCAGGTGGGAGCTGGCGCCCCCTAGAGGGGACAGGCCCCTGCCCCATTCCCTGCCCCCCTGCGCCAGCCAGTCCCTGCCCTGGGGCCGGATGGGACCCGGCACCCCCTGGGGGGGGGGGTGAATTGCTCGTTTCAATGTGCGCCAGCTGCCAGCACTGAATTCTGTGAGGGGGGGATTTAAAAAAAATAACCGTCTCCGCGTTAGAGCTGACCAGTTCTTGACTCGACCGGTCTTTATTCGATCTTGTCCGCATGGCTAAAGAGGAGCCGACCGCTGGATTGAAAAACGAACGAGGAATTGTAGTACATTGATAAGGGAAGCAAAAGGGCCACAAAGAGCTGTGGCCTGCACAGTTAAGGACAGTAAGGAGGTGGGTTGTTGTTTTTTTTAAATCATACTAAGACAAACAGACATCTAGGAACAACAAACACAGGCCATACTTACAGGGTGGGGGGCTTTATCCCAGGAAGTGGGGACTCTGAAAGAGATTTGGCCGGCATGGTGGAGGAGCAGCAGCTGAACACGAGCTCCCAGGGCGACGCTGTGGCTAAAAGAGCGAATACGCTCCTGGGACGTATAAACAGGGGAATCTGGAGCAGGAGGCGCAGAGAGGTGATTTTATCTCTGAATTTGGCCCTTGTGCAACCGCGGCTGGACTCCCGTGTCCGGGTCTGGCGCCCACAATTCAAGACGGACGGGGCTAAATTGGAGATGGAAAAGAGCCACACGAAGGATTAAAGAATTAGAAAACCTGCCGTAGTGGGACAGCCTCACGGAGCGCCAGTGATTTAGCTTAATGCAGAGAAGGTTAAGAGGCGACTTTGAGGGATGATTTCAGGGCAGGCCCGTGGCCGGGGCTGTACAGGTCAGACCGGATCACAGCGGTCCGGGTGTCGGAATCTAGAAAACCCAGGAGATCTGGCTCCCAGCTCCCCTGCTCTGACCCACCAGCCCCCACTCCCCTCCCAGAGCCGGGGAGAGAACCCAGGAGTCCTGGCTCCC